ACATCCTAATTAAACTAGGAACCCCAAATTTGGGCAGGTGTAAGACCTGTGAGAAATGAGTGAGCAGGGGGAAAGCAACCAGGTATATAAACCACAAAAAGGGGATCCCTGGGTGGCGCAGCGGTTTGGCGCCTGCCTTTGGCCCAGGGCGCGATCCTGGAGACCCGGGATCGAATCCCACGTCGGGCTCCCGGTGCATGGAGCCTGCTTCTCCCTCTGCCTGTGTCTCTGCCTCTCTCTCTCTCTCTCTCTCTCTCTCTCTCTCTGACTAAATAAATAAATAAATAAATAAATAAATAAAATTTAAACCACAAAAGGTGGAAACACAGTCACTAGAAAAGTCGGAGACTAGCTCCAGAACACCACTAAACTGAATGGGGGGGGGGTGCCCTTCTTCAATACTGAGGAGCAAAGGGTGTGAGACAGGTCTGAAAGGGCTGAGGCATTTTTGGGCCCATGAACTCTCAAAACTAACCAGTGAAAGCTCCCTTCCAGGATAAAGTCCCTAAAAACAGAGTCATATACACACCTGAGAAGAGACAACTTAAAATGCTCTTTTTAAAATCAGCCTACACACCTAAAACCCCAACACATAACTAATCATAATATGAATGAAATGTCAACATACTTCCTCTGTTGATAGGTCAAATAGCCGAAGGAAAATAAATGCCAATGTATAGACTTTTAGGGGAGGTGGGCACTGAGGAGGGCACTTGATGGAATGAGCACTGGGTATTATATGTTGGCAAATTGAACTTAAATAAAAACATGTTAAATAAATATAAAAGACTGATCCAAAAAAATGTATAGAATTGTGAGCAGCACAAATTGCTACTTTGATATAATGCACAAATACAGAAACTGCATCAAAACAGGCTTGAGAATACATAACAAAATTTACATAATTGGACATAAATTCAGTGTATTTCCATGAAGTGGAGTCAAACAGATCATGATCACTGATCAAATGAAATTAAAACTAGTAATTTAAAAATACACTTCTAAACTCATGGTTCAAAGAAAAACTTGTAGTAAACATTTTAAAACTATTTAGAAATAAACACTGAAATGAAATAAGGAACTGAGGAAAATAAAACTTGTGGGATCCAGAAAATGGCATTTTAAAAAAATCAAATGTACCAAAACCAACTTAAAAATGCTAAAATATTCTATAATCAACAAAATAATGAACTGGTAATTTTTCCACAAAAGAAAACTGTAGGCCGTGGTAGTTTTACAATTAAGTTATATATCAGATGTTCAAAAAGTGGATTATTTCTATGTTAAATAATTCAGAGAACACTGCCTCTCCCTCTCTCTCTCTCGTATGACTATCATAAATAAATAAAAATTAAAAAAAAATAATTCAGAGAACAGAAAGAACATTCATTCCATAACTCATTCTATGAGGCTAAAAACTGTGAAAACAAAGTAACAGACCAACCCCACTCCTAAGCACAGATGTAAAAGTCCTAAGCAAAACATTAGCAATTAAAGTTCATCAGTGTATTTTAAAAAATGATCATTAATGATCAAGAAGGCTTTAGCCCGAGAAGGTAAAGATGGCTCAACATTTAAAAAATTTTAAATGTGTAATTCACCACATTACCTGATTAAAGTAGAATAAATACATTGACTTCAAGAGGAAAAAAAAATGTTTCAGAAATTTCAACCCCTATAAATTAAAGCTTAACAAAATAGAAGGAAACTTCCTTGCCTTGTTAAAGAGTAGCAAAACTAGTAAAATTCAGTATTACCCCAAAGAGTAGGGCTGTCAGTACTCTCTAATTATCCTATAGATTAAATATGATTCTAGTTAAGAAAAAGAACCTCCTGCAGTTGTTTTTCTTCCCAAAGAATCTGACAACTGATTCTAATATTTAATGAAAGAACAAAAAGGTCAAGAACACTCCTTAAAATGAGGATAGGGTTACTTTACAAGTTATCAAGACCTTTAATCAAGTTGCAGCAATTAATGTACCACTTAGCTCTTGGCTAGACAAACTGACCAAAGGAATGGCACAAAAAGTCCCAAAATAGACATTTATTTACGTGGAAATTCACCATGTAGACAAAGTCCCTGTAGAAAGGATGCATTAGTCAATAAACAGTAGAAAGAAAACTGGTTATCCGCATAGTAAAAAAACTGAAATTATTTCTCACACATACATAAATCAATTCCAAGTGGACTAAAGACAAATGTGAGGCTTTCTGACTTCTAAAGGAGCCTATAAAAATATCTTAAGACACAGGGTACCTGGCTGGCTCACCTGGTGTAGCATGGGACTCTTCATCTCAGGGTTGAAGGTTCAAACCCCATGTTGGGTGTAGAGATTACTTTAAGTCCTTAAAAAAAACTTTTTAAAAAAGATTTATTTAGCATGTGCATGCAAGGGTGGGTAGATGGGCAGAAGGCGAAGGAGCATTTCAAGCAGACTCTGCACTGAGTGCAGAGCCTGACACAGGACTTGTCATGGGGCTTGATCTCACAACCCTGAGATCATGACCTGAGCCAAAATCAACAGTTGCATGCTGAACTGACTGAGCCACCCAGGTACCCCTAAAAAAAAAAATCTTGCAACATAAAAATAACTACATTTGAAAATGTTAAAATTACAGAAATATTAGTATCCTATTATGAAGAACTTTTAAGAAAAAAGGACAAAAGACACCAAGAAGTATTTCACAGAAGAAACAATAGCAGCTAATCATGAAAACATGTTCAACTTATTGTTTAGGAAAATGCAAATTAAAGCCACAGTAAAATGTCATTTTACACCTACCAAATTGGCAAGAATCAGATCTTAGAGCAGTAAGCAAACTATAAACCAGGTTGTACACTAGCACAACCATTTTGGAAAATAAGCACATACTTACTACCAACTCTGCTAGATACATACTCTGAAGAAATTCTTGCACATTTGTACCAAGACACTATATAAATTATCTGTAAAAGCCAAAGACAAATATAAGGAAAACTACTCCCAATATAAATTATAAAAATGAACCTGTTGAATAGAAAAAAAACAAATAGGGCAGCCCGGGTGGCTCAGTGGTTTAGTAGCCAACTATATCTCGATTTAAAAAATTAAGTAACTGGGCAGCCTGGGTGGCTTAGCGGTTTAGCGCCGCCTTCAGCCCTTGGCATGATCCTGGAGACCGGGATCGAGTCCCACGTCAGGCTCCCTGAATGGAGCCTGCTTCTCCCTCTGCTTGTGTCTCTGCCTCTCTCTCTCTCTCTCTCTCTCTCTCTCAGTCTGTGTCTCTCATGAATAAATAAATAAAATCTTTAAAAAAAATAAAAAATTAAGTAACCAAAAAATAGTGACCAGAAATACTTTTATATTTCTAAGACACTATGAAAAAGGAAATCATCTTTCCTTAAATGTACATACACTACCTTGTAAAAGCAGATGTTCAGTATAGCTGGTTAAGTGCAACAGTAGGATCTTTTGGTCACAAAGAATACTGGTCAACCACTCATTAGTTGTGGATCTTGTGAAGAAACTCCTATATTCTACAGAGTTTGTTCAGGTAAATTGAACTTAGCCTCAACCATTATTACAATGGAGGAGAACTTTCTGAAACAACAAAACCACCAGAATTTTTGCATCAAATAAGGTTTCCCCTCAAAGAAACTACATACTGAAGTTACTTTCACTCGGTGATTTTAGAAATATTCCATTGGAACTATTTATTTGTGAAAAAATTGTTCAGCAAAGGTAAACCTTAATTTTTGAGGATAGATTTCCCTGTTGTAACCATAAAATATTTTAATCAAGTTTGATGAATAAAGTACACAGGGCCACAATCAATATTCTGGTCAAAATTAACATATGACTGGGAGGCCTGGTGGGCACAGTGGTAGAGCATGTACCTCTTGATCTCAGAGTTGTAAGTTCAAGACCTATGCTGAGTATAGAGATTACTTAAAAGTAAAATCTTAAAAAATTGTTTTTTAACTAACATGACTAAAATGAGTGACAAGACTAGTTCTTTTGGATGCCTTACAAATGGAGTCTTCTGGCCATTTTCAGAAAAATGTTTAGCAATGGCAACATAAAAAAAAAAAAAAACAGGATTACTTACTTGGAAGGACAGCATTCATCCTAATGCATAAAGAATCTCATTTCTATACAAGTCTGCAGTTGCTGAAGAGACAACTGCTTTAATCAGTTACTAAGATCAGTGAAACTACTTACATTAGTTGCCTACATCCTTTTTTTTTTTTTAAAGTACGCTCCACGTCCAACGTGGAGCCCAGTGTGGGTCTTGAACTTACAACCCTGAGATCAAGACCTGAGCTGAGATCAAGAGTTGGATGCTTAACCAACTGAGCCACCCAGGTGCTCCTAAACACCCTTTATATGATAAAACATATTACAGCCAACCTATTAAATCAGTTTCAGGGATGGAAAATAAACAATTATATAGTTTTGATAGGATTCTGTAAAAATACTCAAAAAATGAGAAGCAAAGTTACATAGACCTTATAGAAATTGCTATTCATAATAGATAGATGTAGTATATTTTGAACCAATAAATAGTACTGATGTGAATCCAACTCTGAACTCAGTACTTGGCAGTATATATGATAATTATTTTGATTTGTTGGAGTATTTCTATACAAATTTATATTCAGTTTTAAGAAAATATTATAGAGAAGTTTTACTGCAACTTTTAACTCCACATAAGGAAGAGATAGAGCCAATGACACCCCAACAATTTCTTTAGAGGCCTGATGTAAAACAACCACAAAAATGTTCTTTACTGATAAGATACAAATCAGATTCTAAATGCATTCCCTAACATAGAGGACATGGAGAAAAAAGGAACAAAGAAAATTGCAAGAGGAGTTTATGTAATTTCAACAATCTCTTATCTAGGCATTTATTTAAACAGTATTATAAATTCAAAATTTGTGTGAGGAATAAGAAGAAATCATACTCTTTTGAGGGAGTACAAAGTTTATTCAAACATTTAAAATAATCAGTTATACAGAGTACAGTGAAATTAATCAAAAACAATATCAAGTAATTTGTTTTTAAAGTGATAGTACAATATAGGAAAGCAGTGGCTTTAGTGATTTTATGGAAGATTCACACAAAAGCACCTACAATACTTCTTGAAGAAATAATAATATGCAAATTTTCACTTTTTCTGTTTTTCTGCTTACCATTTCAAAATTTTAACTCAATTTTCTATCACTTTTTTGGTATTCTTATTAACATCTGAGTAGAAATGAAGGCTTCACAATTAAGTAGCCATATTATTTTAATACTGTCATCTCTTTATTCCTATGAATATAATCATCTTTCAGTTGCATGAGTCCTTCAGCCTGATTCTCATTTTATATCTCAAAGAATGTTTTTAATAAACTGTATATATTGATCCCACTATTTATCTTTTCATACCATTGTCAAGACCTTCAAGACTATGCTTCTAATGGTCTATCAACACATAATATAACCGACAGCCACATGTTTTCTTTACTTCCCTTATGAATAGTTCCTATTTTATTGATAGCTAGGGTAGCAATTTAGTATGTTACATGACTACAGTATAGTAAGACCAGAAATAGAAATTTAACACCCTTTTGCTCCTAAACTCTGCACACATGACAAAGGCAGAAATATGTTAAAGAAAAAAACCATTTTAAATAATCTTAGGAACAATGAGATCATGATCCTCTCTCTCACAAAATAAATATAACAAACATACTAGTAACCATAGCCAGACAAGCATTATAACACAAGAATTCCATTACACATAAGAAATAGACTGTTGAAGCCAGGTGTGGAGATTTATACTCCACATCCAGCTGGTTATAACCAGTCCAGTGAATGCTAGAGTTAAATGCTTTGGGGACTGACTGAAATATGGTTTTAGTTATACAAGAAAACACTGATTCAGATCCAGCAAAGACTTATGAACTTGCCTACCGGCTGATAGCAAAAAATGGCGGAATTGGGGAACTTTTAAATCTACCTCATGGAAGACCTTTATCTGTGAGCCTGAGATCCTCTTACAAATTTTTTTCTTTTTCTGGTCTAATATATCCAGTAGACACTGGGTTTTGTAATGTGGCTTTCTACCCTATTATACTAATAAGCCCAGGCTGCCTTTTAATGAGGGCCATCAGAGTTACTAGGCAATGAATTTCAGAGCTGGATGGATGGGGTTAACGTTCCTCATTGCCCAGCTTTCCTGTCAACCAGCAAAGAACTATACTAAATTCTGAAGCATGATGACAGGAAAATTCAGGGAGGCCTGGAAGAGAGGTACCAAAGTGCATTGAAAATAGAAAACAGAATATTTTAATATTCTTCATAAATAGTTTTACAAATATTTACATATAATGAATAGGCCACTTTACATTACTGGTTAAAACTAGGAAGAAAGCTATTAAATCAGTAGGTTAATCAATACTGGCTTCAAATAATGCATTGAAATATTTTTAATTGAAGTTCAATAAATATACTGAAGGTGATTAAACAGAAAAACAGTTTCAATCTTTTTAACAATATATTTTATTGGTAATAATGGACTTGAACTAATTAGTAAACCATAATCTATAAAGAATTTTTGTAAAAATGCATTCATTTTCTGATAATAAATACGTCCAAATTCCAGTTTTTTTAAAAACCAGGATGAGGAAAAGAACAAAATGGAAAGATAATAATCCTGGGCTCAAAGCCAAATGATTAAACCAAAGAGAGAAATATTTTCAGATTCCTCTCAAGGAGTCATGGAATGGGCATCATTTTATCTGAAGGTCTCTCAACTGGGCACTAGAATAATACCAACTCTAAAGCCTTTTCCTCTAATATTTCTTCTGTTTCAAATTTTGCTAATATGAAACAAATCCTTTTTACATGAAATTTAAAAATAACAGTATAAATTCATTCAGATGGAATTAGCTCAGGTAGGTATTTGGTGCCCTAAATATGTCAAACTGAAATCAAGGGCTCCTTACAGCACTCCTATAAAGCTTTTGAATATTCAGCTAACGGCACTGAGAAAGACTAAACATTTTTTCTACTTCTATAAAGATCCAAGAAATTGAGAAGCCAACATCTAGAAAAAAGCAAGGCATAAATTCATCAGCACCAAAGAGAAATGATCTTCAAAATGAGCAGGTCTTTTATGTGTTGATGAATAGGTTCTAATCTCCCCTCAAGGAAAAGTCCACTGCCTACAGTTAACACTTCTGGATAAAAGAAAAGGTAAAACTCAGTAAAATGGTAAAAATCATTTCCATTTTACATATTGATTTATCCAAAATGCTTTAAAGAGGGATTTCAAGATTTTGATACTACTTTAAAAATTTTTCAGAGGAGGTATGGTTTCAAGTTAGATTGTTTTTCTTCCCTATCCCATTATTTGCTAAAGTGGGAAGTATTAAATTTACTTTTTTTACTAATAAATCTTCAGCTACTGTCTAAATGTTGCATTTAGTCACAATGCAACAGTTTCCATTTAAAATAAGACTCTAGTGGTAGTGAAAACTGTTCAAAGGTGGTAACACAAAATCCTGGTTGTCTTTCTCGCATATCAAATATAACTAAATTGTTGGTGGCTGGAACTCAAATCACATACAATCAACCACATTATTGGATCCATGACCTACATCTCGAATTTGGCTAGTTAAACAGGCACACACAGCTACGCCTGCTCCAGCTCTGCAGTGAGACACAGATCCAACCAACTCCCACCTGAAAAGACAGGAAAAACAGGTTATCTTAATGCATGATTTACTTTACTCAAAATTCTAACCAAAGACAAAAACTCCCTATTATTGGGACTGGTTTTAAAAGACAGCAAGTTTCCTCAGGGAACTTATATAAATAAAATATTTTTTTAAATAAAATATTTCTAATGTTCTATATTAATGGCTATATCTAGCAGTGTTTTAGCACTCTGGAGTAATCTGTTACTGGAAGATCCCATTGAAGCATACAGAAAACATGAAAATTACCTATTCAGGACTGGATCAAATGCTTCCACTGTATTTAAGTATGCATTGCCATTATGCCCACCAACTGCAAAGATTTTGCCCATCACTGTTGCAATCCCCACTCCACCCCTTGGAGTGGTAAGTGCTGCTACATAATCCCACTTGTTGCTTCGAGGATCATACCGCTCAACTGAACTTAGAGGAGAATTATCATCAAAACCACCTATACATTAAAAAAAAAAAAGATTTTAAAAATAGTACATTTCATAGAAATTAACTATTAAATCTCAATCCAATAGCTTCTCAGCCCAATCTTTTAAAAACATTTTAGGAAATAGAAAAAATCAAGGAAAAAATTCACCCCAATGCCTATCATCACCACCAACTCCTACTAGACATTTCTACAATTCGAGATAACTTAGATAGTATTGTACCTCAATACTAAGATTAAAAATCTGAAAGTAGGAAAAACTGAAGTTCCTATATCTAAGCAGATAACTTAGAAGGGAAAAACCCCCACAAACATTCATATAATTTGTCTTTAACCTACTAGAGGCAAATAAGACAGTCCTGAGATTCTTCTCTGTGTATACATTGTGTATTATATATTTAAACAGTTAGAGGGCCTGAGAAGAGAATAAAACTACCAATGAATCATTTGACTTATGTAGATACATTAAAGTTTTCCAACTGTTTCCCATAATGCTGTAACTGCCATCACAATTACAGAGATGGCTATGATTGAACTTTCACCAATTTTTGGCAAAACTACATCTTCATGCTACATACTCTAGATGGTGACAGTTCTCTCTATACATCATTCTAACAGTGTTACTTATTATATTCCTGATGGTTGAATATAGAGACTTATTTTGACAGTGTTCTTTCCTTTAAAAAATAAATGTGCCTCTTTTTAAACTCCATCTCTGTCTACATGAGTAATCACTCTCTTCAGCAACTAAGCCTATTTCCCGAGGACAGGAAGTGTTGCTATTATGATCAGTCTATTCAGAAACAAGGTCAGTTAAAAAAATCAACAGTTAATTTCTCTAATGTGTTTAATTAAATCAACTTAACTGAAATAAAATTCACCAATTTTATGTATATAATTTGATAAATATTATAAATGTGCACAATAGTATCCTCACCACTGCAACCATGATACAAAACATATTTTCATTATAATAAAGCTCTCCTAAATAGGGAGCTGTGAGAAGTAGCAACTGTGTACTGCAAGAACTCTGGTTTCTCAAACACCCAAGTTCAAATTCTAGCTTTATCACTATGAAGTAAGTTATTCACATTGAGTCTCTGCTACCTCACAGAGCTGTGATGATCAAACAAGATCTAAAAATAAATTATGTTCTCTCTTTTCTTTAGTACACATAACTCCTGGAATATTCAGCATTACTTCTATTGTTTGCAGATATTTCAATGCTAATGATACCCCACACTCTCTTATCAAGGACTGTTAAGTTATGTAATACCAAACAGTTTACATCAACATAAGTGTAACATATGCTAGTTATAATCTCTCTGACCAATTTCTTTCTCTGTAAAGAAGGGAATTACTAATCACAATATTGCTCCCCATTTACTGGGTAACTACAAAGTACCAGATGCAGTTTGAAATGGTTCTTATATCTCTAAATTTTAGAATAATTCTCTCAAAAATAATTCTCATTATTATTCCCATTTCATAGTTTAAAACCATGCTACTGGGGACACCTGGGTGGCTCAGTGGTTGTGTGTCTGCCTTCAGCTTAGGTCATGATCCCAGGATCCTGGGATCAAGTGTTGCATCAGGCTCCCCATAGGGAAGCCTTGCTTCTCCCTCTGCCTATGTCTCTGCCTCTCTGTGTGTCTCTCATGAATAAATAAATAAAAATCTTAAAACAACAACAACAACACCCTGCTACTTAATGTGTGCTGAACAGACCAGAAGCAGCATTGATTATCAGTTGGGAACTGTTAGAAATACAGAATCTGGGCTCCTTCCTTGCAGTTTAACAGTATCTCCAGAAGATTCATATGTTTGAAGTCTGAGAAAGCACTGCCCTATGGTTCCTTCCAATTCTGCAATTCAGTAGGTCAACAGCCATTATGCATGTTGAAATAACCATTGCTTTGCTTTAAGGAATCAACATAATTCCCTTGAAATGATGATGGAAAAAAATATTCTTAAATCTTCAAAGATGTTAGCAAAGCATATGTGTCCTTACATTAAAAAATATATATCTTATTTAAATATAATCCTCTACTTTAGATATATTTACTACTCCTACTAAAAATATGAAGGTAGAAATTTTAAACGTGAAAGATGAAGGCATAAACAAAAGCACAAATGTGGATCTTAGTAATTTGAAAGCAAATTTTAAGACTAATTCCACTTGAGCCTAAATGTTATATAATTTATGGTACTGTATTTTCTTAAATTAGAGAAATACCAACTACTCACCAACAACATATAAGCAACCATGGAGCTCACTAACTCCATTGCCTGCTCTTCGTTGACCCATTTCTTTAACTTCTATCCACTTATCCAGATGTGGATCATACCTCTCCACACTAGACAAAGAAGCTACTCCATCATTGCCACCTACTGCATAAACATGGTTCTAAATAAAGAAAGAATAAAAACACATAACATTAGACATTTACTTACTCATTTATTTATTTCATTAGACTTTTAATTGATGTATATGTAATGGTAGACCAGATGTGCAAGAAAGCATGCTTCATGAGATAATATGGTGTGCAATCATTATCTGCATCCTGGAGATAAGAAGATAGCAGACCTTTCTTTATTAGGGATGTGATACAATGCAATCCATAAGCAAATTGTCACATAACTTACTATAAGAGCCACAGAGCCAACCCCTCCACGGGGAGTATTCATTGGTGCCACTGTACTCCACTGATCAGATTCTATGTCATATCTCTCTACATCATTGAAACAAGTGTTGTCATCTAACCCTCCAATTGCATAAATTGGACCACCCAAGGAGGCCAAGGCAATTCCTCGCCTGAAAAGACAATTAAAAATTCACTTTAATGTCCGGTTTTGTTTCCAGAAAAAAGGTAATAAAAATATCATCCTAAGGAAGTCATTTACTTTGTTAAAGATCAGTGTGGGCTTTTTTCCCCATTATTTTTGGATTTATCAAACGTTCTGAATAGATGGCTATAAGGTTGCCAAATTATGCGACTGTATGTGAACAGTGCCCTCTGGAGTTTTATAATGCATAGTCTACACAGGTTACTTTAATTTCAAATGAAATAAAGTGAAACCCAACATATAAACGGAGTCCAAAACACAATTAGCAAAACACACAGTTGCATAATGAGAGATTTTATAAATTGAAAGAGATATTTTGCTGTGGAGGTCAGAAATCAATCTCATTTCTAAATTCATGTATTTGCACAGCACGTGTTTTGACGAAGGGTTTCATGGTACCACACAAAAGAACATCAACTTTCATATTACAAGCTTTATATCACATTGTTTTACTTCTGAAGGGCATTTATTTTTCTTCTTGGAAGGGAGACTTAGCCCTTGTGAAAAGCTAATTCACTGTAATAGTAATCAGAAAAAATAATTTCTTAAACACTGCAGCAATAAAAAATTGAATTATTCTAAAACTATAAACTGCCACTGACTTTGTATGTACTTTGGATAGTGTACTTTATAAACTTCGACCTTACTACCTTGCTTCTTCATCTGTAACCCATTTGAGAAAGGAGTAGACACAATTGATATGGAGATAATATAGCTAAGCACTTAAAACAGTGATTGGCCTATGTTTAGTGCTATGTATTAAATATGTTACTGGAGAGTGCAGCTGTTCAACAGAAATTCAAAGCTTACCAAGAGAATCCTAGGAAGGATTCTTAAGGGTATGGTTGTTACTCATTTTCAATCCTCTTAATTTCTTTTGTCTTGAGTATAGAGCAATGACTTATAAAATACTGTGGCTATAAAAATTCGCAGATGTGTGAACATGTGCATGCACTCCAGAACATACAGGTGTTATATAATGGCAGATGTGTGCCTAATAAATATTCCTCCCCCTCACCATCCCAAATCACAAGAGTATATGACATTATTAGTTATCTCCTACTCCTCAAAACTCTTGATTTTCATGAAATCACACATTTGAATTCCCTCCCAAATCTCTAGCTGGTGCTATTTTGTTTCCTTTAATCGGTGTCTTTTTTACCCTACCCCATCATTAACTCACCACGTTCACTAAGGCCTCTCATCACTTACATGCTCTCTCCTGAGGCAACCTCATACTTTCCATGGATTTATGATAACTCAAATATATATTTCCAGACACATATCCCAACTTCTACCTTAAATCTGTCATGCTAGCTCTTGAACCTTAATTTTTTGCTTTTAGAGCAATGAATGAGGTTGGCAGGGGTGGAATACAGGAAGACGGAGAGAAGGAATCTTAAGCAGGGTCCCCAACACAGGGCTCAATCTCATGATCCTGAGACCATAACCTGAGCTGAAATCAAGAATCAGACGCTTAACCAACTGAGCCACCCAGGCGCCCCTCTTCAACCTTAACTTTAACCTGAGATGAAACTCACGGCCTACTTCCCTGTAATAGGAAAATTTTAAGATGTACCCCCCACCCCCCAGTATATTCACCCTCTTGTCTTATTCCCATGCTTATACTACATTATATGGCAAAAAGGAGATTACTTGAATGGCCCTAATCTAATCACACAAGCCTGATTAGAGTTTCTCCAGCAGGAGACAACTCAAAAACTCAAAGAATGAGATGGATTCTGCATGCCACTGCTTGTTTGCAGACAGAAGGGAGCACCTGGAAAGGACCTGAGTGGCTTCTAGGAATTGGGAGTAACATCTGGCAACAGCCAGTAAAAATGAGAAACTCAGTGCCACAATCTCAAGGAACTGAGTTTTATCAATAACCTAAATGACCTTGGAAGCAGATTCTTCCCCAGAGCCTCCAGAAAAGACCTTAGCCCAGCCTACACCTTGACCTTGGCCTTGTAAGACCCTGCTGGACTTCTGATCTATGGAACTGTGAGCTTTAATAAGTAGATATTGTTTTAAGCTGCTAAGTGTGTGGTAAATGGTTTCACAGCAATAGAAAACTCATACACCTATCACAAGGGAAATAAAAATTTTATCCTGTTCATTGACTTGTTTTTTCTAATACAGAAAATTTTACCACTATCCATATCCAATTGCTTAAGCCAAAAACTGAAGAATCAACCTTGCTTCTTGTTCTTTCAACCTTCCACATCTGAGTTTCATAAAATCTTTTGATTATCTCTCAAATATTTCCTCTCTTCTCTATCCCAACTTTTTCCACTTTAGTCCAAGCCACCATTATTTCTTGACTAAAATATTACAATGATCCTGTTGGTCTCCCAAGCTGTTTTCACTCTGCTCCTCCTCAAATCTTTTCTCCATTTCATTTCTCTGCTATTAAAACGTGTGTGTGTGTGTGTGTGTGTGTGTGTGTGTGTGTGTGTGTAAAAGCTCACCAGATAAAATTAAAAACTTCTGGCAAGCCTGAAAGGCCCTCATCCTTTCCTTTTTTTTAGAAATTTTTTTTAAATTTTTTTTTTTTAATTTTATTTTATGATAGTCACACAGAGAGAGAGAGAGAGAGGCAGAGACACAGGCAGAGGGAGAAACAGGCTCCATGCACCGGGAGCCCGACGTGGGATTCGATCCCGAGTCTCCAGGATCGCGCCCTGGGCCAAAGGTGGGCCCTAAACCGCTGCGCCACCCAGGGATCCCCCCTCATCCTTTCCTTTTGTTTCAGTCTTATTTTTTCACACCATTCACCTTGGTATTTCAGTCACACTGGACTTCCTTTATGCTCTCTGCTCTGTTGACCTCCAGATTTTCAGACTTCATCTCTTTCCACCCATCACCCTTCTATCCACCAATATCTAACCAGGATAAATTCTTCTATTCCTTCAGATCTTAAATGGAACTTCAAGATTTTCTCCACTCTCAAGCACAGAATTATTGCCCTTGGGGTGCCTGCGTGGCTCAGTTGGTTAAGGGTCTGCCTTTGACTCAGGTCATGATCTCAGAGTCCTGGGATCAAGTTCCACATCAGGCTCCCTGCTCGATGGGGAGTCTGCTTCCCCCCCCCCCGCCCTTCTCCCCGCTCATGCTCTCTCAAATAAATAAATAAAATTTAAAAAATTATTGCTCTTGTAATTATGTCTTTATTTGTATCTTTCCTTCTTGAATGTAAGATCTACAGAAGTAAACCCATAAGATCATGACAGGAGTCAAAATCAAAAGTCAGCCGCTTAATGGATTGAGTCACCCAGTCACCCTTGTTGCATTTCTATACACTAATAATGAAGCAGCAACAAGAGAAATAAAGAAGACAATCCCACTTACAACTGCACCAAGAAGAGTAAAATACCTAGGAATAAATCTAACCAAAGAGGTGAAAGACCTGTACTCTAAAAACTATACAACACTGATGAAAGAAATTCAAGACAACACAAAGAAATGGAAAGACATCCTATGTTCATGGGTAAAAACAAACTGCTAAAATGTCTACTACTCAAAGTAATCTACAGATTTAATGCAATCCCTATCAAAATATCAAGAGCATTTTTCACATTTTTCACTAGAATAAACAATCCTGAAATTTGTACGGAACCAAAAAAAGAACCTGAATAGCCAAAGCAATTTGAAAAAGAAAAAGAAAACTGGAGGTGTCACAATTCCAGACTTCAAGTTATATTGCAAAGATGTAGTAATCAAAACAGTATGGTACTAGCACAGAAACAGAAATATAGATCAATGGAACTGAACAGAAAGCCCAGAAATAAACCCACAATTATATGGTCAATTAATCTTCGACAAAGGGGGAAAGAATATGCAATGGAAAAAAGAAAGCCTTTTTAACAAATGGTGTTGGGAAAACTGGACAGCAACGTGCAAAAAGAATAAATAAATAAAAGAAAGAAAAGAAACTAGATCACTTTCTTTCACCATACACAAAAATAAACTCAAAGTGGATTAAGGATTTATGTGTGAGACCTGAAACCATAAAAATCCTAGATGAGAGCAAAGGCAGTATTTTTTCTGACACTGATCATAGCAACATCTTTCTAGATACGTCTCCTGAGGCAAGGGAAACAAAAGGAAAAATAAACTACTGGGACTACATCAAAATAGAGAGCTTCTGCACAGCAAAGGAAACAATCAACAAAACTAAAAGGCAACCAACTGAATAGGAAAAGATGTTTGCAAATGAATTATCTGATAAATGATTGGCATCCAAAATCTATAAAGAACTTATCAAACTCAACACCGAAAAACAAGTAATCCCGTTAAGAAATGGGCACAAGGCACAAACAGACATTTTCCCAAAGAAGACATCCGGAAGGCTAACAGACACATGAAAGATGCTCAACAACACTTATCATCAGGGAAATGCAAATCAAAGCCACAATATTACTTCACAAGTCACAGAATGGCTAAAATAAAAAACATAAGAAATAACACTATTGGCAAGGATGTGGGGAAAAAAAGGAACCCTTGTGCACTGTTGGTGGGAATGCAAACTTGTGCATCCACTGTATGGAAAGTTCCTCAAAAAATAAAAATAGAACTATCCTAAGATCCATTACTGGGTATTTATCCAAAGAACATGAAAATACTAATTCAAAAGAATATATGCACCCCTATGTTCATTGCAGCATTATTTACAATAGTCAAACTACAGAAGCAGCCCAAGTATCCACTGATAGATGAATGGATAAAGATGTGGTGTGCATGTGCGTGTGTGTATACATATATGTGTGTGTGTGTGTGTATACACACACACACACACACACAATGGAATATTATTCAGCCATCAAAAAGAATGAAATCTTGCCATTTGCAACAACATGGATGGAGCTACAGAGTATAATGATAAGTGAAATAACCCAGTCAGAGAAAGACAAATACCATATGATTTTGCTCATATGTGGAATTTAAGAAACAAAACAAAGGGGGGAACAAGAGACAAACCAAAAAACAGACTCTTAAATATAGAGAATATCATACCACAGGGGAGGTTGAGTAAGTGAAACAGAGGAAGGAAATTAAGAGTACACTTATCTTGGGTGATGCGTATTAAAGAGGGCACCTTTGATGAGCACTGGGTGTTGTATATATGTAATGAATCACAAAATTGTACTACTGAAACTAATATTACACTGTATATTAACTGGAAAAAAAAGAGATCTAGGCCCACTCCACACCAATTCCAAAATAAATTGCTAGAACGAAAAAAAAATTTTAAATAAGCATTTGGGAAATTTAAAGAAAGAGTACATCTATCTTGATGAGCACTGAGTAATATATGGAACTTTGTTAAGTCACTATATTGTGCATCTGAAACTAATGTGATATAGTATGTTAACTACACCAGAAGTAAAATAAAAAAATCCTCTCTCCTCAGATTAAAACCCTTCAACAGTTTTTTATTTTTATTTTTTTTATTTTTATTTTTTTCCTTCAACAGTTTTTTAATGACAAAGTTTTCAGATCTCTTACTAAACTGCTAGTCCTTATATGCATTCCAGGTTATAACTCTCAGATTTGTAACAATTTTTGTGCACCTTCCATCTACCATAATTATTTTCAAATTATAAACATATTTTTGTATTAACAGGTTATGTTCATTTAAAAAACTTGCAATCAGAATAAATTTAAAAGGATACAAAAAATATATACAGCTTAATTTTTATTTCCATATCCCAATTAATGTTGTATATACCACTCTGAGAACCCAGCCATAGATATGGAGACATCAGCATGAAGAACAGTATAACTACAATCTTCCTTGATCTGAAGGCTACACTTCTCAACTATATTATATTCATTTTCCTTTTCTTCATTTTTTTAGAGCTGTGCTTCATATTGGTTCAAGTACTTTTTTCTATAAGAAACATAATTGCTAACCTGACTTTCCACCATGTTGTACTGGTGTAATTCATCTTTCATAATATCTAAAGCAGGTTTTTACCTGTAACTCTAATATTTTTAGGTATTGTTTCTAGATCTACAGGGTGATTAGTCTATTATACTTTTGAATCTTCATTTGGTGAAATATTTTTTGAATCTTCATTTGGTCATCCACCTTAAGATATCTGAAAATCCAATATTGAAGTCATCAAAAAAATTCTGAATAGGCTATTTAACACTTACTAAGCTATTGAAAATCTTCCTCCTCTTTAGATTAATCCATTTATCAACATATATTTCAATTTACTGTAGATTAAAATTTTAAATATTAATGCTCATAATAAAATGAGTAAAAAGTGAGGGATTTAAAAAATATATTTTTTATTTATTTATTTGAGAGAGAGTGAGAGATGGCAAGAGAGCATGAGCAATGGGGAAGAGGCAAAGGGAGAGGAGAAGCAGGCTCCCCACTGGTCAGGAAGCCTGACACTGGGCTCCAACCCAGGACCCTGTGATCATGACCTGAGCCAAAGGCAGATGCTTAACCAACTGAAGCCACCCAGGCACCCTGAGGGATATTTTCTTAACATGTTAAAATAATTATGTCTTAGTCCTAAAGCCAGTATCTCATTTAATAGGGAAACACTAGAGACATTTCCACTAAGATCAAGAATAAGACAAAAACACCTACCATCTCTGCTACTATTCACCCTGTATTAGATTAATAGGCAAAATAATTAGACAAGAAAAACCATTCAAAGCATTGGAAAAACGGGCAAAAGTCGAATAAAGTCTATTAATTAATACCATTATATCAATGTTCATTTCCTGTTTTCAGTAATTGTACTACGATGGTATAAAATGTCAATATGAAGGGAGCTGGGTTAGGAGTATAGCACAGGATTTCTCTCTCAGCACTACTGACATTTGAGGAGGAAAATTCTTTGCTGTAGGGGGCTTTCTTATGTATTATAGGATTTTTAGCAGCATTGTTGGCCTCTCCCAACTAGATGCTGGCAGCCACTCTCTCTAACATCCTCCCCCCCCCCAAATCTGTGACCACCAAAAATGTCTCCAGATATTGCCAAGTATTCCAGAGGAAACAAAATAATCTTTTATTGAGAATCACTGGCATACAGGAATTCTACTATTTTTACAATTTTCCTTAAATCTATAATTATTTCAGAGTTAAAAAAAATCAATGCTCAGGTTTAGGTGGAAACCATATTAATGATTACCATATTCTGAAATATAAAAAGAAAATATAAAATATATTCTGAAGAGGGGGTGGGGGTAAATGGGTGACGGGCACTGAGGGGGGCACTTGACGGGATGAACACTGGGTGTTATTCTGTATGTTGGCAAATTGAACACCAATAAAAAATAAATTTATTATTAAAAAAACAAAATATATTCTGAAGAAAATATAAAAAGCTATAACAAAGCATCACATTGGATGCTAAATTTAACAAAGTGTGTTTAAGACAGTATTAAAGTTTCTAAAAACGTAAAAAGTAGAAAATTAGCCCTTTAAATTATTGGAAGCTTTATTTTCCACCAACAAATCAAAAAATTTCCATGCTGATTCACCTCTTTGTGTTCATTGATGCCTTCATCATCCATTTATTAGTCAGAGGATCAAACATCTCCATGCTACCTAAATGTTCATTTCCATCATGTCCACCTACTGCGTATACTTTACCTGTCAAATAGAGAAGTTTGATTTTCATTTGATTCCAAATGGGTAAACTGATAGTTATTTATGTATATATAATATACATGAGATCACATATAATTAGAATAGCATGATAATTTTCAACAAATATTCTTCTGTTCAACATCATGAATAATGTCACTTAAATAGTCATATGAAAATAATTGTAAGCTTCTGCTCAATAAAATGCCTGGAACATGCTGTTCTATATGAAGTTATTTATTTATTTATTTATTTTTAATTTTTTATTTATTTATGATAGTCACAGAGAGAGAGAGAGAGAGAGGCAGAGACATAGGCAGAGGGAAAAGCAGGCTCCATGCACCGGGAGCCCGATGTGGGATTTGATCCCAGGTCTCCAGGATCACGCCCTGGGCCAAAGGCAGGCGCTAAACCACTGCGCCACCCAGGGATCCCTATATGAAGTTATTTAAATGTCCAAACACTACACCTACCTTTGATTTCCCAACTCTCATTACTTAGTAGATGAAATCACTAATCATGCTTTCAAAGAATGTTTAATAAAAAAATGTTCAATGTTATGTGAAGAAAATATAAAATTCAGTACAATGTGATCAAATTTTCTAAATGAGGTTATTAAAAATTCACATACAATAAATAACTGTAAAGGTTACATAGAAATAATGTCAACTGTGACTATTTCTGGGTGTTTGGGTTATAGATGATTTTTACTTTTTATTAGAATGTTCTTTTATTTTCCAAAAAAAGAATTTACACTTCTATAATCCAAAAACAAAAGTGATTTTTTAAGGTCCTCTAACAGTTTGCCCATGGTTCTGTAATTATTTCATTTTCAGTAACCAGTAAAAAAAAAATCTCATTTCAATAATAATTAAACATAAGAAAAAAGCTGATATATATTTATTATTTGAGTTCAATAAGCACTCTTCTTTAGTTTGATTATTTTGCAAATATAACTAAGAAAAGTTTAACTCTTTAACTCTCTTTTCCCTAATACTCATCTCCCAGTAAGCACCTACATGCAAGAGATTGCTCACTGAGCATGTATGGGCATAAGACAAATAATCACCACACAAATATTTTATTGACAGATTGAAACATTTTATAATTTAGCAATTTTCTTACAGAAAGAAATTCTCAAAGTTTAAATATCTCAAAAGAGTGTCACCATCATGGCTAGGACTTAAGACAATAATGGACCCACCTTCCACAGAGATTACACCCACATGTCGCCTTCGACTATTCATTTCTGGCCCAAAAAACCAACTGTTTTTGTTGATAGAATAGCATTCAATACTGCGAAAGGGGTCACCAGATCCACCTCTACCACCTACACAAAACAGCACACCTAAAGGTAAAACCAGAAAATAGAGATCAAAATTATAGCTCCCTAATTTTTCTTAAATTAGTGTGGAAAAAAATACTTAGGAAGTCAAAATTTTGATGAACTGCTAAAAAAAAATGAGTTATTTGGATAACTTCAATGTCATTATGTTACTAAAATTCTAACTTTCTTTTCTTCCCCTTATTTGAACTTCTCAAAGAATAGAATACATCAGCTATCTCTGTTTGCTAAACAGAGATGTAATGTTACATCCCATTATAGTAAGGTTTAAGTTTTCACCCACTCTGTAAAATTGCTCTTGGCTAAGGTCAGAACTACATCCAATAAATGCTTAAGTTAATTTCTTATTGAACACAAGTACAACACTCGATATGTTGATCATCCTGTTTTTTGAGAAATTCCTCAATTCTCTTGATTTCCAAAATACTGAAGTCTCTCCTTTTGTGTCCAATAATTTCTCCTTCCTGTGTTTCCCACGTTTCATCCTTCACCTACTTCCCATATACTTTATGTTAACACAGGAAAAGTACATTCCTTGATTTTAAATTCCATTCTGTATTATAATGCCTTCCAAACTACATATCTAAGCCATATTTCCACTTGATGTCCCACAGGCCTTTCAAACCCAACATATTGAAAGGATCTCCCCTCCTCAACTACCTGAATAACCCCTTCCTTCCATGAGGTATCCTTCCTCTCCCTCACTATTCCACTGCCATTGTTTTAGTTCAGGCCCTCATCTGCTATTACCCAATACTGCAAAATCCTGTCCTTTCTTATCACTTTTAGTAGTCTTTTTGTTTTCAGGCATACTTTTATCCCCTCTCTTAGCCTCTTCATGCATAAAATGGAATAACGCCATCTATCTCATAGTAAGGATTGAATCCTACACTAAAACCTACTCATTAAGTTGCTGCAATCATGTAAGAGATCACATATACAAGAGTCTACTATATGCCTAGTATATGCATGTAAGCCAGGCTACCAAGGTGTTGTTTAAATTTAAATCTGAATTTAAAGAGGAATTTAACTAAATACCTTGACTTCCAGAAACAGGATTCACAACTTTAAAAAACCCCATGCTTCAAAAATTTAATTTTTGACATCAACCAATAAAAAAAAGGAGAATAAGCAGTCCTTTCCATAGAAAACTACAGTTGACACTTGAAGAACCCAGGAGTTAGGAGTACCAACTTCCTTTGTAGTTGAAAATCTGCAGGGCAGCCCCGGTGGTGCAGCGGTTTAGCGCCACCTGCAGCCCAGGGCATGATCCTGGAGACCCGGGATCGAGGCCCGCGTCCTGTGTCGGGCTCCCTGCATGGAGTCTGCTTCTTCCTCTGCCTGCGTCTCTGCCTCTCTCTTGCGCTCCGTATCTCTCATGAGCAAATAAAATAAAATCTTTAAAAAAAAAAAAAAGAAAAAGAAAATCTGCATATAATTTTTGATTCCCCCAAAACTTAACTCCTAATAGCCTACTGCTGATCAGAAGTCTTACTGGTAGCATGAATAGTCAGTTAACACATATTCTGTATGGCATATATATACACACACACACACACACACACACACACACTCACACACACATATATGCCATATTCTTACAATAAAGTAAGCTAGAGAAAAGAAAATGTTATTTTTTTTAAAGATTTATTTATTTATTTATGATAGACATAGAGAGAGAAAGAGGCAGAGACACAGGAGGAGGGAGAAGCAGGCTCCATGCCGGGAGCCCGACGTGGGACTCGATCCCGGGACTCCAGGATCGTGCCCTGGGCCAAAGGCAGGCACTAAACCGCTGAGCCACCCAGGGATCCCCGAAAAGAAAATGTTATTAAGAAAATCATAAGAGAAGTGCTTGGGTGTAGCTCAGGCAGTTAAACATCTGACCCTTGACTTTAGCTCAGGTCTTGATCTCAGGGCTGTGAGCTCAAGCCCCTCACTAGGGCTTTAAAAAGAGAGAGAGAGAGAGAACAAATACATTTATAGTACTGTAAAAAATCCACATACAAGTGGACCTATGCATGCAGTTCAAACCCATGTTGTTCGAGGGCTAACTGTATTTAGAAGAACTACTTCTTCATAGATACATCTATGACATTCAAATTTTCGTTACCTATATAAAATCCCATATTCATAATCATGTACTGCCCTTTGTTGTTATTTTTAGGCTATTCCACAGATCTGTTTATATGATAACTATATTTGGTAGCAACGAATGTAGATAAACTCTCTGCTCAGAGTACCACTTCTGAATTCCTAGACCTTCATTTATTTTCCATCATCCCTCAAATATATTTTTTATAGTTATAAAAAGTAGCATAAGTGAACATGAACTATTAGGAAAATACAGTCTGAAAACTGTGGCAAATAAAGATAAAATTACATGCCTCCTTAAGTATAAGACCTTTAGATTTGAAGAGTCTAACATAGTCTATTATACAAATTTGTAACGTAGTTAGTGCCTTTAAGATTTTATTTTTATTTTATTTTATTTTATATTTTATTTTATATTTTATTTTATATTTTATTTTATTTTATATTTACTTTTTTGTAATCTATACACCCAATGTGGGACTGAACTCATAACCCCAAGATCAAGAGTCACATTGCTCTTCCAACTGAGCCAGCCAGGGGGCCCACTTAGTGCCTTTCTTTTGATTTGATAAAACACAAAAACTAGTAATATTTAAACACAAAATATGTGTCAAGCTCCATCCTTGGCACTAGGGATACACCTGAATAAGATATTTACCTGTTTCTAAAGAGATCAAAACATGTCAAATAAATAAATTTCAATGCACTACAGTTAAATAAAACAAGTGCAAACAAAGCATTCTAAAAGTACAAATGATAGAGGAATTAACTCTGCTAGAAGTATCAAGAAAACTTAAAAAAAAAAAAAAGAGATTTCAGCAGGCTCTTCAAAGTGTATAGGGCTTATGACTTTTTAAAAAATTGGTTTATTGGTAAAACTACCTGAATCATGTCCAGTAAGAATTCATATACAACCGTATTATTGCCAATTACTACTTTAAGACAATCAGATACTAACCATCTTACAATTAAGTTTGGGAATACATAACTAGTCCTCAAATACAACAAAGATCCTTCTAGTAGAGGTAATAAGATGAGTAATTTAATTACCAGCAGTATGCTTCCTTGGGGTAGTCCGAATGGAGTATTCAAAGTCAGGTACTGCTCTGCTACTCAAGTGAAGATGGTAATTTCTTGCTTCATCCAACAAATCTCTACATTTTAGATTTTGCTTGACAATCTGTTCTTTTGCCACAACACCCATAAGAAAATCAACTGGCAGCAGCGGCAAACGAACCTAAGATCATGAACAGTAGCAGATATAAGATTAAACTGTAATTAGATAGTTCATTCTGTACTTTGTAGTATGTTTACGTTGTTTTTAAAAACTCATTTATTGGGCCGCCCGGGTGGCTCAGCAGTTTAGTGCCGCCTTCGGCCTAGGGTGTGATCCTGGAGTCCCCGGATCGAGTCCCGCGTTGGGCTCCCGGCATGGAGCCTGCTTCTCCCTCTGCCTGGGTCTCTGCCTCTCTCTCTCTCTCTCTCTCTCTCTCTCTCTCTCTGTGTGTGTGTGTGTCTCTCACAGAAAAAATAAAATAAATGAATGAATAATAAATAAAATCTTGAATAAATAAAATAAATGAATAAATAAATAAAATCTTAGAAAAAAACCCTCATTTATTACACAAAGCCTTTCTAACATGTGAAGGAAGTTCAATGAGCCAAGTTCTAAAGTGATTTCTAGTATGGTCTGCACTAATGAAATCAGATTGTATGTTAAATACATCCTCCCCCCTTTAAATACAGATTTAAGTAGACTAATAAAATAATTCAATTGTCTTCACTCAAGTTACTTAATTCCAAAAATGGCAATGTCATAATCACAAGGCGCCACTGCTGCTGGAGAAAAGGCACAATCAAAACAAAATTGCCATATTTTGTTCTTTTGCCTTTTAAAGCTTAGATTGAACAAATGGGATTTCTTCATTACTTGAACAAATAAACATGCATAATATTAAATTAATGCTGTTTTCTCCAAACTAATCACCTTGGAAGGTTATATACTGAATGAGGGATGCATCCCCTATTAGGTAGAGGCACTCATCTTTCTTCCCTTAAAGATGCATTGATTTTCTAGTGGATTAAGGGGATGATCAAATCAGGTAATATGATTTTGAGTTAAAAGTACCTATGCATATACAGAAATAAGATAGCTGCAACATAATGAAACTTTTTGTTTCTGTTGACAAAATTATTTTCAAAGTAATTCTAATGCTTATTTTATTATCTCCCTTCCCAGGTTACCCTGTTGAAAATAAAGAAAGGAAGAACGAAAAGAAAAGAAATAAATAAGAAAAAAGAAAATGGAATGTTATGTCTTATGGTTCTTTCCAGATAAGAAAGTAACCACTATAATTTCAAAACTTCATTATAAACAATAGTTACTTAGAGCTGTTTCCTCAGAACCATTTGCTATCAGCATAAATAAAATATTCATTACTACAATTTCAAAGGGCTATTTTCAACATTCAGGTTAAAAAGCAAAGAATGGTATTTCTAATTAAATGTAACAAATTCAGACCTTTCCTTAAATAGTATAGTGAATAAATAGGAAAGTGAAGAGAAAGCCATTTTCACACAAAGATTTCTACATTCCTTTAGATAATCTACACATTTCATATCAGTGAAACAACCTAATTTGCTGCTATATCACATTTCTATACACCAGCTTATTTTAGCCCCTACCTGTGCAAGTGTTTCATCCAACCATTTGGAATGATGCTGTGGATTGGCAAGAAGCCACTTGATGGCCGCACTATAGACCTGCTTTTCATTCTCAATATTTAAGTCACTGGAGGACAGAAGTTTATGGAGATGTTGGGGTGACACACTTACAAAGTCTTCACATTCCACTACTTCAGTAAAATGCTCACAGGCATACTGATCCGCCATGTCCATTAAGTCTATTCGGTTGTGACTTTCAGCAAAAGCTCTCACTGCCAGGCAGTTGGAGGGATGAAAATGTAACTTCATGTATTCACAACAAGCTCTAGCCACCAGTTCAACCTGTAGAATACAGGCTGCATATAAGAGAGGTTGGACATTATCAACAGTCAAAGTGAGCCGTGAAGAATAGACAAACTTTACCAAGTCTTCTATTGCATCACCGTCAAAATCTCTGATCTCAATCAGTGTTTGCTTGGCTTCAGCCATTTCTGAAAGAAACATGGCTCTGAAGTAAGGGATAACACAAGCCAATACTAGTTTGTGACAAGAGATTAGCTTTGAGCCAACCTGTTTAAAACAAACAAACAAAAGGAGACTTAGTTTAATATAAAAATTAGTTTTAGATCAGCAATAAGCATGTGTGGTAGCAGGGACAAAAACCTGCACAAATTTAGTGTATTTGTTTTTAACAATCCAATCCTTTGGTTACTTATTTTAATCAAGGACAATTGCAATTTTCTTCTTCCAAAGTATTCACTTATCTTCTATATATTATCTAAAATGTATATATAGTAAACTACGATTTTCTAGCCTATCTCAAATTTCAGGAACATTCTGTGAATGAATGAGAAGAGCAACACACATTATCTAGCACTACTTGGGCACTATTCTTGTTTTTGGTCTGTGAGACCCTTTCTTAAAATTTTTTTCTCGGGATGCCTGGGTGGCTCAGTGGTTGAGCATTTGCCTTTGGCTCAGGGCATGATCCTGGATTCCCATGATGGCTCAAGACATGATCCTGGATTCCGGGATGGAGTCCCGCATCAGGCTCCTTGCATGGAGCCTGCTTCTCCTCCCCCTGCCTGTGTCTCTGCCTCTCTTTCTGTGTCTCTCATGAATGAATAAATACAATCTTTAAAAAATACAAAAATAAAAAGAATTAAAAATAAAAAAAATAATTTTTTTTTGAGAACCTGGATGGCTCAGTCAGTTAAGCGTCTGCCTTTGGTTCAAGTCATGAGCCCAGCATCCTGGGATTGAGTCCCACATCAGGCTCCCTGATCAGTGAGGAGTCTGCTGCTCTCTCTGCCCCTCCCCCACTCATGCTCGCTATCTCGCTGTCTCTCTCAAAAATAAATAAAATCTTTGAAAAACTTTTTTCCAGTTTTATAACTGACATAATATTTTGTAAGTTTAGGTTATATAACATAGTGATTTCATACATGTATACATCATGAAATGATTATCACAATGTTTAGTAACTATCTAACACCTCACATAATTATAATTTTTCTTTCCCTATGATAAGATCTTTTAAGATCTCTTAGGGGCACCTGCAAGGCTCAGTCAGTTGGGCGTCCGTCTCTTGGTTTTGGCTCAGGTAGTAATCTCTAATGGGTCATGAGACAGAGCCTTGTATTGGGCTCCATACTCAGTGGGGAGTTTTCTTGGGATTCTCTCCCTCTGCTCCTCCCCTCCACTCATGCTGATTCATGCACTCTCTCAAATAAATATATTTTTTAAAAAAGATCTCTTGCACAGCCCAGGTAGCTCAGCGGTTTAGTGCTGCCTTCAGCCCAGGGCCAGATCCTGGAGACCCAGGATCGGGTCCCAAGTCAGGCTCCCTACATGCTTCTCCCTCTGCCTGTGTCTCTGCCTCTCTCTCTCTCTCTCTCTCTCTCTCTCTCTCTCTCTGTGTCTCTCATGAATAAATAAAATCTTTAAAAAATAAAAAATAAATAAAAAAGTATCTCTTATCTTAGTAACTTCTAAATATACAATATAGTATTATTAATTAGTCACCATGTCAGGCACTATTCTAAGTACTTTTCACATATTAACTCACTTAATTAATTGTCCCAATGCCCCTATGGGTAGGTACTATTATGATCCATAATTTACCAGTAAGAACACTGAGAGAGTAAATAATCCATTATTTTGTAGTATATACTATGAACTAAAGTTTTTTCATTTCTTAAATTATTTTGAAATAAAAAAAATGAAATCTTAATCACCTTATTTGTTGAAAAATTAGACTATCAATACTTTGCTGTTGTAAACGGCACAATGAACTTTGCTGTCACTGATTCTATGTTCACACTTCATTATTTCCTACGGATAAGTTCCTAAAAGTAGAAATAGTATTTCAAAGTATAGGTACAGCTTGAATATATACTGCTAAATTGTCTATTTCTGATCTACCTACAATATTTGTGCGATGTTTCAAGTGTTAATTTATTGAAATATACTTGTCAATTTGATTTATGAAAATATTATCTCATTGTTTTAGTTTATCTTTTACTAATACCATTAAATCATTCATTTTGGGCTACTTGTATCTCATCTCTCCTATGAACTTTTTTCTATGTCTTTTTTCAATGTATTTGTAAGAACTCATACATTTAGAATGTGAGTCATTTTTCATATATATTTCAAGCTTTTCTCTTTTATGGTGCACTTTTTTATTCACCCCCTATAGATTTTTACACAATCAAATCAATCTGTGTCTTTATGATTTCTGCCTTATATTCTTTGCTTTAAAATGAGAATCATTCTAATATTCCATAAATATTAACTTTAGGTATTATAGTATTTTTTTGGTATTATAGTATTTTTATGGTTTTATTGTTTTATACTTATAATTTTATTTCCATCTGCAAGTTTTTGGTATTGAGTATCCAGTTTTCCCAGCCTTAACGTTAAATAACCATTAAGCACAAGTAACAGGATAGTGTTTTACCAATTTTCCTGTTTGCATGTAGCATTTTGACTGCATAATACACTTTTTGTTGGGTCTCATTATTTGGGAATGAATTTTAAAATGAGAACTTCTAGGGGATCCCTGGGTGGCTCAATGGTTTCGCAACTGCCTTTGGCCCAGGGCGCGATCCTGGAGTCCCGGATCGAGTCCCGGATCGAGTCCCGGATCGAGTCCCGCATCGAGTCCTGCATCGGGCTCCCGGCATGGAGCCTGCTTCTCCCTCTGCCTGTGTCTCTGCCTCTCTCTCTCTCTCTCTCTCTCTCTGTGTGTCTACCATAAATAAATAAAATCTTAAAAAAAAAAAAAAGAACTTCTACAGAAAATGGCCTGAGGAGTATAATGTATAAATGTTTTTGTTCATAAATGTTCCTCCCTGACCTTTTTTCACTAATGTGGAGGAAGAATGAATATCCCTTCAACAAATACAGGATTATCATTTCTGTTGGTTATACTGTATTTAATTTTTTAAAAAGTACTCACAAGGCAAGATTTAGATTCTATTGAGATTAAAGGTGTAACCTAGACTAAAGCAGAGAGATTGGCATGTTTTCAAATTTACTTCAGCCCTAAAATGGGATCTGAAACCTGATATTAAACATTTTAAAAAGAAACTAAAAATACCTTTTCAGAATATCTCCACATGCCACCACTGAGATTTAGTTTCTATGCAAATATATGTAAATCTTACGAGACATAAATCTGGTAAAACAATCTGCCATTACATAAAATAGAATTCTACAATTTCCAATTAAACATTATTTTAACACTGTCTGCTTATCCAAGCTGTATAAATCAATGAACCACAAACTATTTTCATATTGTTCATAAGGCTTTTTTCCCTCAAAAACTCTAATTTGATGCAAATGAACTAAAACTTGATTATTTAATACACACACACAATCATACCCCCTATGTGCCCTTTTAGAATAAATACCCATCTTAATTTTAAAAAAGTCTTTGAGCCATGTGTATGAAATAGCAACATGAGAATATCTGGCTTCTTATGCATTAATTCTCTTTTGACATTATTGAGTCTCACTGTATTACTGACAGCTTATTTCTATACTCTTGTGCTCTAGTACATAAAAATAATTATCAATTACCAAAAACATTTCATCAGAAAGTTAGGAATGAAAGAAAGCAGAGTATAAGGACTACATGCTTGAAATTGGGTGAAAAATACACAAATTACAAAAATAGTAGACATTACAATTTTAAATAAATACTACAGTATTTAGTAAATAATAATAAATGTTATGTTGGTTTTAACATAAAATACTAAAATTAAAATACTAATATTAATATTCATAAAATAACAATATTTATAAAATATTAATATTAAAATAAAATAGTGACTAATAAATATGAATACAATGATAAGTCCCTTTATACTAGTGAATTTTATAATTTACATTTTTTATTAGACTAATGAACATATGAATAATTCAAGATGCTCTGGGGAAAAATTATGTCAAGTTTAAACTTAAGTAGTGAAATATGTAGAATAACAACATTAATAAGATTATGTCGTCTTTTTTTTTTTTTAATTTTTCTTTATTTATGATAGGCACACAGTGAGAGAGAGAGAGGCAGAGACACAGGCAGAAGGAGAAGCAGGCTCCATGCACCGGGAGCCCGACGTGGGATTCGATCCCGGGTCTCCAGGATCGCGCCCCGGGCCAAAGGCAGGCGCCAAACCGCTGCGCCACCCAGGGATCCCAAGATTATGTCTTCTTAAAAAAAAAAAAAACTTGAAATACAAACCACTAATCAAAACCTTGAGTAATTTTCCATAGATTAGCCAGTAGGGATCAAAATACACACAATGAAACAAAGGTTTTTAGACTGGGAAACCACTTCACTTTCAACATTGGGATGGGAGGGAAAGATGGGCATGGGGGAAGTCAAGCATCCTCAATTTTTATTGCTGATTTGACATTTAAGTCCACCCAGAAAAACTACATGACAGACAAAAAAGAACTCTGAAAATAATAAGTGATCTTTTGCTGAATTATGAATTAAATAAGCTAAAAGTAACATAAAAAGAACATTAAACAAAGAACATTGATATTCCCCCCAAAAAAGAACATTGAAATTTCATTAGTTTTCAATTCTAACTTACAAAATGAACCTATTATCCTACATTTAAGGTGACTTACATTTCAATTTTCTTTTTTCCCTCTAAAATACAAATTCAGTGTATAAAATCAACAAAGAACAGGAAAAAAATAGCGGAAAAATTCTGCTCACAATTCAACAAACACTGTCAACCTGTTGATGCATTTCCTTCCAACTTTTTTTTTCTACATGTTATGAAACATAATTAAGACCATCCCAAACTTGGGGTGCCTGGGTGGCTCAATTAAGCATCCAACTCTTTTTTTTTTTTTTTAAGATTTTATTTTTATTTATTCATGAGAGACACAGAGAGAGGGGTTTGGGGAAGAGACACAGGCAGAGGGAGAAGCAGGCTCCACGCAGGGAGCCCGACATGGGACTCGATCCCGGGTCCCCAGGATCAGGCCCTGGGTTGAAGGCGGCGCTAAACCGCTGAGCCCCCCGGGCTGCCCCAGCATCCAACTCTTGATTTCAGCTCAGGTCATGATCTCAGGGGTCATGAGATCAAGCCCCACAACCTTCTCTATGCTGAGTGTGGGGCCTTCTTAAGATTCTCTCTCTCCCTCTGCTCTACTCCCACCCCCCACTCCACTCGCAAGCATACTTTCTTAAAAAATAAAAAAGATTGTCCTGAACTTTGTCATCATCTCCTAAGTTTCTGAAAACTTTTATAACCTTCATGTTTATTGGCTACCCTATACAGTGGATGTAACACACTTTATTTAATCATACTGATATTAGCCATTTACATAGCTTCTCCATATTTTAAAATACACTATTTCAGAGCAGAAAGTTTTTTCAGAATTTCAGAATATTTCATTAAGATGGAATCTGAAAAGAATTAATTAACCAAAAAATATAAGCTTTTTATAGCTCAACACTGTTAAACTGTACACGAAAAACAATGAGTCAATTTACATATCCACCAGAAATGCTTAAGAATATCTCCTTCACCAAAATTTCAAAAGCAATAAATGTTTAAAATATTCAATGTTGATAAGTAAACAATTTTTTAATTGATTTGATTTTTACTTCTTAACTATTTTTTTAAAAGATTTATTTATTTTAGAGGAGGAAAGAGAGATCTGGAGCAGGATGAGAGGGAGAGGAAGAGAATCTCAATCAGACTTCCAGCTAAGTGCAAAGCTGAGGCAGGGCTCCATTCCACAACCCTGAGATAATGACCTGAGCTGAAATCAAGAGTTAGATGTTTAACCAAAGGAGCCACCCAGGTGCCCCACTTCTTAGTTATTTCTAATATTTTTTCAAGAGATTTACTTTAGTGAAGTGAGAGTGTGAGAGAGAGTGTGGAAGAGGGGCAGAGGGAGAGAATCTTCAAGCAGACTCTGCTGAGTGGGGAGCCCAAGGCAGGGCACGATCTCAAGACCCATGAGATCATGCCCTAAGCTGAAACCAAGAGCCCGATGCCCGACCAACTGAGACACACAGGTGCCCCTTAATATCTTTTTTAAAAATGTGGCTATTCTAGTAACTATTCTTTTGCAAAGGAGTTGTTATTACATAGCTTCACTTCACTTCGAAGTATTAATTGTATAATCCCATTAACACAGTTTGTTAAAAATCATTTATAAAAATACTAAAAAAAACCTTTTTAAATCATTAAAACTAAAGTATATTAGTTTGAAATGTTTATAATCATGCCACTTAGTAACTCAAACTAAGTGTTTAAGAACTACATTGAAATAAAAGTGCCTAAAACAAACAGTGAAAGAGGAATAGAGTAGAAGAAAAAAAACCCTACATGCTCAATCTCCTTTTATGTATGTTAATAAGCTATATTCTAATTTCTCAATTTTTTTCTAATTTCTCAACTTCAGTCCTTTGTAATTTTGCCCTTTTAATCCTTTAGCTACTCTTTTCAATAATCCACCAATTTTAATCAGTTTGAATAACCAAAATAGTATTTTATTGCCAAGATCAAGAACAGGTTAGGTATATAAGACTCAAGATAGTTTGGCTTATGGTGAATTATCACATCATAATGTCTCACCACACCCACTGTTCTACAATCTTGGCTAATTTTACTACATTTATTAAAAGATCTGCTTAAAGAAAACAATGGATTAACACTTTAAGAGACTGAATAAACAACTATCTACAAATATAAGTATTTAAATACCTCTTTTTCTGAGAAACCTGAAAAAAATCAAAATGTCAATTTATTACTTGAATGTCAGAAAGTAAAAGTGATCATTTATTACACTGCTTAACACAGAATACTTAAGTGTTAAATATGAAAATCATCTCCTTTATTGTTTCTCTTTTATTAGATTATGTCTGTCTTCTAGTCAGGAGTTATCTGTTACCTTTATAAGGCTAATAATTTTATCATTTCTAGCTCTTGGAAGTATGCTATTATAATGTAGTTTATATATTTTGTTTCCCTGAAATCTTTTGGAGCACTTATTCTTACTTGGTCATTTAGAAGTTTGACACCAAATAATTACAACAATCTTGAAAATATTTATTAGAATCCTATAAATATTTGCTTAAAAAATCACAGAAACGTACTTTCAAAAAAAAAAAGCCAAATAATATGAATAAAACATATTCAGTGGCAGCATCAACAGATGGTGTAGGGAGCTTCCTTCTTCTAATAATCTGTTAACTTCTTCAAGTAAAATTAACAATGATCTTTTGTTTTTTTAAGATTTATTTATTTATTCATTCAGAGAGAGCGAGAGAGAGGCAGAGACACAGGCAGAGGGAGAAGCAGGCTCCATGCAGGAAGCCCGATGTGGGACTCGATCCCGGGTCTCCAGGATCACACCCCAGGCTGCAGGCGGCGCTAAACCGCTGCACCACTGGGGCTGCCCTAACTATGATCTTTAATAAGAATAATTACATTTCCCCAAACTACATAAAGCATGAGTAAAAGCATCTTTGTAAGTGTTACTCTTGTTGATCTATAGCATATAACTTAAGCATTATGAGTGCTATGCAATACCTCTGAAAGACAAATTCCCCTGACCTTTATTCAACCAAATCGTTGCCCCCTAAGAAACTTGCCCCATGTACAATTTTAGACCTGCTACTGGATATACTGTTTAAAATGTTTTCACTAACAAAATAATATATAAACAAGTTTTACCTCTCCCTGGAATGACTTAAAGACAATAATCTCTTATGAGAAGCCTTTTGAATCACCTCTCAGGCATAATTTATTAAATCCTCTCCTATGCTACCATAAAAATAACATAAAAATGATAATCGCTAAATTTTACTGTCTTTAACTTTATATTGCCTATTTCTGGCTAAATTTCAAATACCTTGAAGGCAAGAACAGAATATTATTCAAATTTCAAGTTTATTTATACTCTCCATGTACTAGAGTAAGACCTTAGTAAATATATGCTAAATAAACTTGTTATTTGTAATATAGGTGCTCATTTTGGAATCTAAAAATTGGCTAATGACCATATATACAAACAATAAAATAAATCTGGATAGTTGCTGGGTTTTTTTAAAGATTTTATTTTTAAGTAATCTCTATACCCAACATGGAACTCAAATTTACAATCCCAATATGAAGAGTCACAACACTCCACCAACTGAGCCACCTCAATGGTCTTTCTAAAATGTGTGTCCTTGGGGGTGCCTGGGTGGCTCCGTCAGTTAAGCATCTGCCTTTGGCTCAGGTCATGATTTTGGGGTTCAGGGACTGAGCCCCACATCAGGCTCCCTGCTCAGGAGTCTCTCCCTCTCCCCCTCCCCCTCCTCCTCCCCCTCCCTCTTTTAAAAAAAATTCTGACCATTGAAGAAATGTTGAATTCAAATTAAGAAACAAATCCAATAATAGATCTGTTTAAAACTTCAGTTGTAATACTTTCTAATGAATAGGAAGAGAATATACCATAGCAGAAGTATCTGATACCCTTGGAACAACAACAATAGTAACACGATCCAAATAGCTGATATTTGTTATCTTTCATATACCAAACGCTATAAGGACTCCAGTTATATCAATTCACTTATTCCTCACAAAAACCTAATCATCACTCTAATTTTACAGTTGAAAAATAAAAATGATAGTCCCTTAAATTAATGAAGTGTGTCTCATCCCCAAATGATCTCCATCATGTTTAAAACATAGTATTTCAGTTTTCAACCTCTGATTCTGTGGGAGTTATTTCAATCTATTGCTTAAGTTACACAATAAAGTTACAAGTTTAATTCTCACTTGCCCTATTTTTTACTTAAGAAAGTTACTATGTTGTACAAATTATTCTAAAATTCAATTATAAAATTTATAAAATGAATAATACTCTACTTAATTATTTTCCATTCATACATTGATATGCTGAATGGTAATTGAATTCAAATAATCTATTTTACAATCGGAACAGGACAAACAGTGTATGTTCTCATTCATTTGGGGAATATAAATAATAGTGAAAGGGAATATAAGGGAAGGGAGAAGAAATGTGTGGGAAATATCAGAAAGGGAGACAGAACATAAAGACTCCTAACTCTGGGAAATGAACTAGGGGTGGTGGAAGGGGAGGAGGGCGGGGGGTGGGGGTGAATGAGTGACGGGCACTGAGGGGGGCACTTGACGGGATGAGCACTGGGTGTTATTCTGTATGTTGGTAAATTGAACACCAATAAAAAATTAATTTATTAAAAAATAATCTATTTTACTTTTTTTTTCCAAAGCTAATGTGGGTCCCTGAATTTCACACTAGGGTTGAAAATTAGAACAATGGCATAAAATGTGGAAAATGCTGCATGAATGCATATGAATCATCAAAAAAATTTTAATATCACACTGACATATAATAGTAAAAAGGAATCTTAAACAAGTAATGAGGAACAATTAGAATATGGGTTCCTCCACACTACTTTATCACTTTATCAATTTTACTAAAACTGTCTTTTACAGCAGAATAACATGATTCTATAGACCATAGACTTAAAATTTACTATGCTTTTTCATCCAAGTCTAAATAGATTCTACTTCACTATTAGGTATAGAAAATCTCACTTAAGAGATAATTGTTTTAAAGTAGAGATTAAATTACCGGAACAGAAATATATACTAGAACACTAGTGCAGCTGAATAAACCACCAAGAATTCCTAACTTTCTAAGTTATTTCTAAATTCATAAGTTAAAAGCTTACTAGTTAACAATTTATTAATTTCCCTAATAATGACTACTTACTGTTTTAAGGTTCCAGAACTCTCAGAAGTTACATTACCAAGAAATAATGAATATTACCATTTAATTAGTACAATAAATTTAGCTTATACTAACCTCTAAGCACCTTTGCTTATGTCCTTTCACCTTCAATAAAAACGGATTGAGACTAGTCATCTTGACTGTAACAAGTAAGTATGGCACCAAAAATTTGTCTTGTGTAGTTCTAGAAACCTTCATTTTTCATAATGCAATAAAGAAGTTGAAAAAGAAAAATAGAGAGTCTCACCTTTAGTGTGACATCACAGAGTTCTCCATTTTCATAAAACCGAAGAAGGGAACCATGAAAATCTTTCCAAGCTTCATTAGCTTCAAAGATAAAGGAGTCTTCTCCATCACCATCACTAATTGAAGACCTGTTTTTTATTTGCTGGTGCTGCCTTTTCCCCTTTGTGCAGTGATTCCTAGCTTGTTTTGTATTCACAGATTCTGAAGCCATTTGCAACACTCTTCTTTTAATACAGCACTGTTCTCAAACATCCCATTTATTCTTTTGTAAAGAGTGGGGAGAAGGCAGAAGGGAGATGCTGCCCACTAACCTTCAGATATTTTTCAAAATCCACTCAAATTGCCATTGTTCAGTTTCCTGAGATTAAAAAATAAGTAAAACACATAAAAATACACCAAAAGAAAAAATATCATTAGTAATTATAGTTTACCAAAACTACATATGCAAAGTGACCACACAAATTATTACTTAAGGAAGAACAAGTTACTTTGTAACTTTATGCTAAATGTCATATAAGTTATCTAAGCTAATTATTCCACTGAAGGAACTCCTTTAAAATCTAATTTGAGGGGCATCTGGGTGGCTCAGTGGTTGAGCATCTGCCTTCTGCTCAGGGAATGATCCCAGGGTCCTGGGATTGAGTCCCGTATCAGGTTTCCCACAGTGAGTTTGCTTCTCCCCCTCTGTCTATGTCTCTGCCTCTCTCTGTGTCACTCACGAATAAACAAAACCTTTAAAAAAAAAACTAATTTGAAAATTCTGGGAAATGGTGGAATAGAAGCAGCAGGAATCTGCCTTCCCCACATAGGCAACAATTACACTGGCAGAATCTGTCTGATGTAACTATTTTGGAATTCTATGGAGCCTGCTAAAGGCTTGCAACTTCCAGGGAAAGACTGAGAAGTTTAATTTTGGTCAATTTAAGCAGTAGCAGCTGCCCATCACCACATCCTCAGTCAGGTGGCAAGTAAGCAACTGTGTGCATGTTCCTTGGAGGAGCTACAATTTTTAGGATTCAGGGTGGGCAAAAAGGACCCAGTCCTCCAAATATCAGGGATCTCTGCTGATTGCTGACTACTGCTTCTGATCACAGCGGTATAGATAAAGAAAAAGGTGTATAGCCATTATTAATACACCTTTACCTGTTGCAAATCCCTCCCTCTTGGCTGAAGTGACTTCCAGATGATTTAAAAGGCTTGTGCCCTTTATTCCCATTCATTTTTTGGTTTTGGGGTTTTTTCCTCCCCCTTTCAGAAGCAAGACACAAAAAACAAGAGTATAAACAAAGAAAATTAGAAAATGACAATGCATGCCAAGGGAAATGCTCAAATAAGACCTGAGAAGACCTTAAATTATACCTCAGGCTGGTCTTCAGCACAGAGATGGTCTAAAAGCAATCAAAAAGAGGAGGAAAAAAAGTAACAAAAAATAGCAGAACTTAAAGAAGAATTCAATTAGATCTGGACACTGATTTCCAGAATTACTACATTATTAGATCCAAATGCCTAGTGTTCAACAACAAAAATCACAAGGCATACAATGAAACATATTCAAGGTGTGTGTTGGGGGAAGAAACAAACAACAAACTGTCTTGAAAAGGAACTAATGGAATTTATACTAAATGAAAACTTTAAAACAACTCTTTTAAGGATGCTCAACTAAAGGAAGATGTAGAATCAGGCACACAATCAATACTATCAAAAAAAGAAACACAAAAACTAAATAAAGAGCAAACAGAGTTCCTGAAATGGAGAAGTACAATAACTGAAATGAAAAATTCACTAGAGGGACTCAGGACAGATTTGAACAGGAAAAAGAAAGAATTACCAACCTCAAAGACAAGACAATGGAAATTATCGACTCTCAAGTGGAAAACATTGAAGAAACATGAGTAGAACCTAAAAGACCTGTGGAACATCAAATAGACCAATATACATTATTGGAATCCTAGAAGAGTAAGTGAGAGATAAAGGGGAAGAGAGAATATTTAAAGAATAATGACTGAAAACTTCCAAGATTTGATGTAAAACATAAATGTAAACATTCAAGAAGTTTTATGAAAGAGGAATTAAAAGAACCACACCAAGACATTATAAACAAGCTTCCAAAAGCCAAAGATAAAAAAGAATCTTGAACACAACAAAAGAAAAGTGAATTGTTAGATAGAGGATTCCTCAATAAGGGTATACTCGCAGATTTTTTTAATCAGAAACTTCAGAAACCAGCAAGGATGGGCAGATATGTTCAAGGTACTGAAAGACAAAAGCTGTAATCAGAAATATTGTATCTAGCAATAATGTCCTTCAAAAGTGAGGAAGGAATTAAGGCATTCCCAGATAAGCAAAAACTGGGAGAGTTTGTGACCATTAGACACCACCTGCAAGAAATCGAGTCCTATAAGGTTAAATAAAAGAATGCCCAAGAGCAATTCAAAGCCATATGGAAAAATAGAGTTTGATAAAAGTAAATACATGGAAAAAAAAGTAAATACATGGGTAATTACAAAATCTGGTATTACTGTAGTTTTGGTTTGTAACCACATTTTATTTTCTACAGATTTAATACACTAATACATCCATAGAAGAAAAAGTAATTAATGTGAAAGCAGCTTTACTGTAACTTTCATTTGCACACCGAATCTTGTTTCCTATACAACTTGAGAATAATTTAAAATAAATAAAAAATTAAAATTAAAAAATTTTAATTCAAAATTTAATAATTGCTAATTGTATAAAGATACACAAGTTAAAATGGAAAGGATAGAAAAAAAAATACTCCATGCAAACAGGAACCAAAAGAGGGCAAATATAGCTATACTAATACCAGATTAAAAAAAGACCTGGAGTCTGAAAACGTTATAAGAAACAAAGAGAAATATATTAACAAAGGATCAATAGAATAAGAAAAGACGATTACAATGATCATACATATAATGACAAATAATGAAAATACTTGAAGTAAAAACTAATAGAATTGAAGTGACAAATAAATAGTTCCAGAATAATAACTGAAGACTCCAATACTCCATTCACACTAATGGATAGAATAACCACAGAAAAAGCAGAGGACACATAACACAATAAACCCATTAGATCGAAGACATAAAACAAAAACAAAAACAAAACAAAACAAAACAAAAAAACCACAATGCTCTACCCAACACAACACATACCCTTCTCAAGTGCACATGGGATGCTTTCCAGAATGAATCACTGGTAGGCCACAAATTAAGTCTCACAGGTTTAAATAAAAAGATAAACTGCGTACCAACTATCTTCTCTAACTACAACAGGATGAACTTAGACATCATGACAAAAGAAAAATGGAAAATTGGCAGAACTGGAAAAATTAACACACTTTTAAAACTACCAATGAATCAAAGAAGAAATCACAAGGAATTAATAGAAAATACTTAGCAAATGAAAACAAAAACACAACATACCAAAACTGATAGGCGCCATAGTGAAAGCAGTGCTAAGGAGGAAACTTATGGCTATTGACATATTTTTAGAAATCTCAAATGAACAATTTAGCTTTACAACTTAACTAAAAAAGGAAAACTAAACCCAAAGTTAGCAGAAGAAATGAAATTAACATTGGAACAGAGATAAATGAAATAGAAAATAGATACATGATAGTGGAAAACAAACCAAAAGTTGGTTCTTTGAAGAGATCAACACAATTGACAACACTTCAGCTAAATCAACTAAGACAAAGAGAGAATGCTCAAATTAATAAAATCAGAAATGAAAGTAAGGAACATTACTTCTGACTCTGTAAAACTAAAAAAAAGTCATGAGAATACTATGAACAACTGTACATCCATAAATTGTGCATGAGATGGACAAGTTCCTAGGAAACAAAACCTAAATCATACACAAATAGAAAATCTAAATAGACTTATAACTATTAAGAAGACTGAATCAATAATCAAAAATCTCCCAACAAATTAAAGAACTAAATTTAATGGCTTCACTAATGAATTCTACAATATAAAGAATAACTAATATTATTCCTTCCAAACTTTTCCCCCAAAATTGAAGAGGTCAGAAAACATCTTAACTCATTCTATCAGGCCAGCATTACCCTGTATGTGAAAACTACAAACCTATAAATCTTAGGAACATTGATGTCTGAAACTATAAAACTCCTAGAAAAAACACAGAGGAAATGCTTCATAACACTGAATGTGCCATGACTGCTTGGCTATAACACCAAAAGCACAGACAACAAAAGAAAAAAAAAAAAAAAACAGACAAATGGGACTATATCAAACTTTAAAACTTCTGTGCAGCATAGGAAACAACACAGTGAAAAGGCAACCCACAGAAAGGAAGAAAATATTTGCAAGTCATATATACATAAGAAAGTCATATATACATAAGAGGTTAATACCCAGAATAAACAAGTCCTTCGACTCAGAATAACAACAACAACAAAAAAAATCAAACAATTCAATTTAAAAATAGGCAAAGGACTTGAATAGATATTTCTCCAAAGAAATAAAAAATGACCAATGAACACATGAAAAGATATTTCAGAATAAGCAAATCAAGACCTCACAACCATTAGGATGACCACAGTAAAAAAATTTAGAAAATAACAAGTGTTATTTAGTGCATAAGGATGTGGAAAAATTGGAACCTTATGCACTGTTGCTAGGAATACTAAAATGGTGCAGATGTGAGGTGCAGGATGAAGAAAGGAGATTAGAAGGATCCTAAGCTCACTTTGTCTCACAGACATACCTAGAAAGCCACAGCAGATGAATTAACTTTAGAAAATGACACAAAGACTGGCAGAACAAACTTTCCAGAGTTACTCATGAAGAAGAGGCCACATAAAACAGAGTAAGAGGAACAAAGACATGGTCAGCAAACAAACTCCTGGCAAGACTAACCACAAATGGAAGGGGTACCACAAGCACAGAAAATAGAGAGGAGCAACCCGTATCAACATTTGCACTGGAGACAAAATCCCTAGAGCAGCTGGCTTTGAAAACCAGTAAAGATTAATTTCATGAGTTTTTACAGTCAGTGTAGGGCTTAACTCAAAGTACTTAAAATCAGCAAGCCTGGCTCTGGGAGAGCCAGAAGGTGATAGGAAACCAAGTCCTTGCCCTGAAAGACCCAGCATAAAAACAGCAATTTGAAAAGCATCTGTGGTTTGCAGGAAGAAGAGTTATATAATCTCAGAATATGCTGAAGAGGCAAAGATCTTTAGGAGACTTCTTTAAGAACAAAAGAGCTGGCAGATGCCATTTCTCCTCCCCCCAAGCCTAGAGAACTGGACACTTCTGGGTACAAACTCCATCTAGCTTGCTAACACCACATGCCCTGACTCTGCATTCTCCTGCAGATCTGCCCCCATCCAACCCTGTCTCGCTTGACCAGCATCCCTCCAAAGCAGCTCCTGCTGCAACACATTCTACAAGCAGCCCAGTTGGAGAATGGCATCACTCCAAAGTGACTCCTGCACCAGGGAGAGGGGAAGCTAACCACATACACCAGTGCAACTGCAGCCTCATAAGACTTACTGGGGGCAGGCACCTGGTCTGATTGCAGGCCTACCAACCAACAAAAGCCTCTAGGGGGACACTGCAGGGAAAGCATCCTGCAGTTCAGTGTTACCACAGCTGCACCACACAAGCTGAAGACAGCATCTAGTCTGACTGCTAACACCACCCAGCTACAAGCCCACAGTGGCCCCAGATCAGCCACTTAAAAGGACAGGGACCAAACCCTGCGAAGAGTAGATAAACTGGGTCATTCCAACCAACTGAACTTAAGGCAAACACTGCTCAGCTACAACACACATAGGAGGGTGCATGCGACAAACATAAAAGACACCCCTGAAGTGCCTATTTCTGGTGAACAGAGATGCTGTACTATAGCGCACTACTGGATCTCTTCTTCATAAAACCACACATTCAAGAACAGGAGATTTAGCTGACTTTCCTAATACATGGAAACAAATACACAGAGTTAAATAAAATGAGGAGACAGAGGAATAGGTTCTAAAAGAAAGAACAGGACAAATCATAGGACAAGAGCTAAATGAAATGGAGATAAGCAATACACCTAATAAAGAATTCAAGGTAATGGTCATAAAGATACTTACAGAACTTGAGAAAATAGTGAAAGACCTCAGTGAGACTGTCACAAAGAGACAGAAAAGATAAAAAGAACCAATCAGAGATGGAGAACTCAATATCTGAAATTAAAATTGTGTATACTAGAAGGAATCAATACCAAACTAGAAAAGGCAGAAGAATGGATAAGCAAACTGGGAGTAAAACAACGAAGTTGAACAGAAAAAAAGAAAAGTGAGAAAAAAATTAGAGTAGGTTATGGGAACTGACATCATCAAGTGTAATAACACTCACATATAGTGATCCCAGAAAGAGAAGAGAGAGAAAAGCCCAGAAAGAGAAGAGAGAGAAAAGGGAAACCGTATTTGAAGAAAGAATAGCTGAAAACATCCCAAATCTGGGGAAAGAAAGAGACACCACATCTAGGAAGCACAGGGAACTCCGAAGAAAATCACCCCAAGGAGGTCTACACCATAATACATAACAATTAAAGTGGCAAAAAAGTAGTGAAAAAGAGAGAATTTTAAAAACAGCAAGAGAAAACAATAACTTGTGTACAAGGGAAACCCCAGAGGGCTATCAGCTGAGTTTTCAGCAGAACACTGCAGGCCACAAGGGAGTGACATGATATAGTCAAAGTGCTGAAAATAGAAAAACCTGCAAACAAGAATACTCTACCCAGCAAGACTATCATTCAGAATAGAAGGAGAGAGAGAGAGTTTCCCACACCAACAAAAGTTAAGGGAATTCTTTGAGTAGAAAGGAAAAACTATAATCAAGAGTAAGAAATTAGGAAAGGAAAAAAAATTCACAGGTAAATACAAACATAACAAAAGTACTAGATCAATCAGTTATAAAAACCAGTACAGGGCAGCCCCGGTGGCACAGTGGTTTGTCACCGCCTGCAGCCTGGGGTGTGATCCTGGAGACCCGGGATCGAGTCCCACATCGGGCTCCCCTGCGTGGAGCCTGCTTCTCCCTCTGTATGTGTCTCTGCCCCTCTCTCTGTGTCTATGAATAAATAAATAAAATCTTTAAAAAAAAAACCAGTACAGATATTAAAGCACAAAATTAGTAAAATCAATTATTTCTATAAAAGTCAGCCAAGGGATTCACAAAACAAAAGGATGTAAAGTATTATATACATAAAGTATGGGGAATAAAGATTTAGTGCTTTTAGAATGGGCTCAAAGTAAGCAACCATCAGCTTAATATAGACTAATATGTGCATAATATATTATATATGAACCTAATAATCACAAAATAATCACAAATCAAAAACCCATAATCGATATTTAAAAATACACAAAAAAGGAATCCCCAGGCATATCATTAAAGAAAGCCATCAAACAACAAGGACGGAAAGAAGAATACAGAATAACTACAAAAACAACCATAAAGTAAGTAACAGAATGGCAATAAGTACATATCTACCAATAATTATCTTGAATATAAATGAACTAAATGCTGTAATCAAAAGACAGAGGGT